CTTGAAGGTATAACAATACATATTTCATTTGAGTTCTGAATTTCTCAAAAAGGAATATGCTCTCTCAGGAAACGTTCTCAATGGGCCGAATCGGAAAACAAATGGTTGACGCGTTGGTCGAATCACAACCGTCTGTCGAGAAGATTCTCAAATTCTCAGACATGTTCCTGAAGCTGAAAGACCTGACAACGTCGCAAGCATTCCAGGTATTCTTTCGCCTATCCCAAGAAGAAAAATTGAAACTATGTTTCGACAATTATTGGAACCATTTCGTGCCGATTCCTGGCGCCCATATGGCGATCATTGCTATGCTTTGGTTGCGATGGGAACTATCTGAGTAACTGTTCCTTCCACGCAAATAGGTCACGCTCACTCTTATGGTTCGGCTCTCTGTGAGAAGAGACATGGTGTTGAACTCTGCAAGTTAGATTCCGCTTACCCCCGTTGAGCTGCATCCTTACTTTACGACTGCCCTCTTCTTAGCTTACTTAGTTAGTTAGCCTACAGACCGCTATCATGCGGCTTCAATCACAGTTATATTTATTACATGAGAAAATACTCATGCAAGGACTTTAGTTTTTGAATATCTTATCGAATAGTTAGGACTATTAAGTAATTTTATTGAGAATTGCTCCCTTCTAGGACTTCGACACAAATCGAGATGGATGGATCAGTCCAAAGGAATTCCAGCGTGCCATGGAAAGTCAGAAGATGTACACAGTGTGAGTTCATGGAATCAACTATACAAAATTTGCTTTCGAGTAGTTTTGGCGGTACTGAGACAATTAGCCTTTCAAACGCAATGCCTGAAGGTTACGCGTTTAATAATAACTGCCAAAATGTTACTCCCATCTCCATAGCCCAGGGATAACAAATACGATGAGACGAGACAACTTCCTCCATTTCATTGTCAAACGAGAAAACAGTGTTTACCACAGACTTACGTCAGGATAGGTTGAAAATAAGCGGTGCCTAGCGCTCTTTAGTGTATGAGGGGCATCGTAACTAGCATTTGTGGGGAACTCATTTCTTATCACGCAACTCTGAAAGCTCCATCCACACCATGTTTTTCGTCTATGAGGAGTGAAACCCAAACATTGTGCTACACATTTTTCCAGGAGACTGCATTATTGAGGTATTCCTAAAGGTTTGAAATTGTCTCTCATCTGTTCGATTCCAGCGAGGACATCACGTATTTGATGATGTGCACAGGACGTAAACAACGACGGCAAAGTGGATTACATGGAATTCACAGAGAGATTCCATAATCCGGCTCGAGATATCGGTTTCAATCTTGCTGTACTGCTAACGAAATCTCAAAGAACACATCACGAACGACCCACGACTGGAAAAGATCATTGAAAAGGTAGGATTTAAAAGAGTTGCGTTCGTTTGACATTCTCAGTATGTGGCTTGTGATCTAGGGTGCCATTTCTAACTCGTTGCAGTAGGCCGCGTAGAGCATACGATGCAGTTCCCAGGGTCTTGGCCGTCACTGTCCGTTTGGGAAATACTATGGCGGGGTTGTACTTTGTGATTCTGAGGATCTGGGCCGTATTTTTGGACGGACATGGTAAGAAGTGGATTCTTTGAAAGTTGACTTCCGTTTGTTGGGGGTGGAGTTTCAGGGTATTGGAAGGTGGCAGGATAAAATATTGTAGAAATAGCTGAATATTATTGGGGATGATTGGGGGGGGACTGAATGGCGTCCCTCTTCACTGAAAAGGTCGCGGGACCTCACAATTTTTCCCAGCGGTTGAGCCTAGTTCTTGTCAGGGTCATTCGGTAATTGTGAGCTAGGTCGCACGCTATTATTGAACCATCATCGAGAGCGACTGCCAATATGAATAAGCGAAGTGTACTGCATTGCAACTTTATGCTCTCTGAGAACCGTGGAGGGGTTAGTAAGGTGAATAACGATCCAGGAATGCCTCGACCATGGCTCTGTACTGTGCGAGAATAGTCCGAGAGTGAATGTTTGCGCTTCATGATTAGGTACATGACCGGTCAACAAAATTTCTCCCAGAATAAAGAGAAGTTGTGGGAAAGTTGACGTGTTTGGACACGAATCCACCTTGGACAGTAAAATTCGTTTCAGGCTCAAACTTTGCTGGAATACTTCGATCCATTCTTGGGACGAATCGAGATCATGGGTTCAAGTAAACGTGTCGAAAAGATCTATTTCGAGATTCAAGAATCGTGGCTTGAGCAATGGGGAAAGCAGCAAATTCGGTTCGTTTTTATGGAAATCGTAAAGTAGGAATACTCAAATACTAGGTTGGGATTAAACACCCCATAGCACAGTCTTGCAATTTAAGTTTCTCTTATTCTTTATCTAATCAAATATCCTCAAAGTTTGAGATGTTGACCTAGAAATGTTGAGATGTTGACCTAGAAATGATTATTTGAGGTTCACAGAAATTGCAAAGTCAGGCTGACAGAAAGATTCCAGAAATTTCCTCTCAAATTGATAGATCGGAGCTGGTCACGTCGCTTACATACACTCTCTGTTCACTTCTCCTGCACCATGATTCTTTCGCGTGAAACTGGAGTATTTTTCGAATGAGCCCATTTCTTGCCAAGTGTGTCGAATTGTATAACTGACTTTATATGAAGTGAATTTTCATGGGAATATTTTTGGAACATTGATTTTTGCTACGTTCCCAACTACCTACCTCTTGAACCATTCTTAAAATGAAGCAAATGGAAGCAATCTCCTGAGATCTCTGCTACCAGCCTCATGTACTCTCTTTGTTCGTCGTTCTGCAATGGCATTTGATGTTTTTGAATACCCTCAAGGCAGTATTTGTTACCTCACACAAGTGGCGTAAGAGCATTGAGGGGCGGCTTGACCGCAGCTTCCAGTATGTTTTCCGAGTGGTCGATCTTGCTCCAAAAGTCCTTCCGCAGATGAATTTTCATCCCGCTCCGCATTCGATCATTGCACCTAGTGACTTTAAACTGCTTGTGTTCAGGGACTCCAAGAACTCTTTCCTGTTCAACGTTTTGCAAGACGATGGTGGAGATCAAGGCAAACTCGAGGCGTTCATTAATTTCTGTGAGGTATGTGGAAAGGGAGGGAAAATTCCATAGATATTTCGCGCAGCTCCAATGTTGCTTCAGGACACCATTTTCGAAATGCAACATGCGGCCGAGATTTCATCTGGTGACACGGATTCGAAAATGGAACGTGCCATCAAGCAACGGGACTATTTCTTGCAGCAAAGCACTGCTGGAGAGTGAGTTTACATTACAATTTGCCAACACAGCTTCTTCATTTATCCCCGAGATACTCACCCTCTATGTACTGGTGGAAATATGTACACAAACTCAAAACATCTCTCATTTTTTTCGCTGCGCTTTTGAGGTGGTGCTCAACCAAATGCGTTCTATTATATTTGCTGCGCTCCTCAAATGTCGTGCTGGTATGCAGGGTGAATAACGGTCGAGGAATCCTCGACCATGGCTCTCTACTGTGCGAGAGTAGTGCCGAGAGTGAACATCGCGCGGAGAGCACAGACGGCTCGCGCATGGCGAGTGTGAATGTCCGCGCGAGAGATCGTGTCTGATCGGGCAGAGAATCCTCGACGTGCCGTTGAGGAATCCTCAAGCGATATTCACCCTGCTCTCTCCCATACTCCTAGGCCGGAAGTCGGTAATGGACAGAGGGCGCCTATAAGCGTTAACCACGATTGAATCTTATTCAGTTTCTCAACCATTCAATACTCCGGAGTCAATTGATTGGTATAAGATCCATCTGCTAAATATTACAAAATCCTTTTCTCGGCTGGGTTTGGTAATCTTACACAATCCTGTAAGCCGCGCTCATTGGCCAATACCATTCTGGATAGGCCGATTGCACGACATACCGGTGCATTTGAGGGTTATGAACATGAGCGATTCATTTCTATCTTTACCATTCTACCTGGTTGCAGTGATTATTGTAAACGTGCTCATTCAGGCAAATCTCACAGACGTTCAAAAGCGGCTATAAGTACGGAGTAAATGCAGCGTCAGCACTCCGGCCAGAAAATGTCAAGCAGAACTTTCAAGAGGATCAGTGGTCAAGTACGGTAAGTGCTCAGCCTTTTCGTTCATTGCTAAGCAGTCAGCAGTGCTCAGTGATGCCATACGTGACTCGTGATAGTGTAGGTTGGGCGGAGCCACTTGAGAGGGTGGAGGTACAATAAAGTGGATCTTGTTGAAGGGAAAACTGTCCACTAGAAACTCCCTTTAGAGCACCGGGAGGGGGGAGGTTTCGTCTTTGGTTGGTTGGTGATAGCGAATGCCGTCTCAGGCCGAGAAGAAGGTACAGAGGCAGAGCAACGCGCTCATCCTGACGTTCTCTTTCATAGAACCCCTACTCGTGCGGAGATCAGCAAGCAAAGAAGGAGTCTCCTTTCGCGTCTCTCTGGTCGATTTGCTAGGTTTCTCTGCAACAACGGTCACCTATATTTTTATTTTCAAAGAAGACCATTTGTCACACCAAGCCACACACCATTGCGCTATTTTTCGTAATGTTTCCCTCTTTTGCGCTATTTTATAGAGAAGAACTCACCATTGAAAAGGCTCAGGCTCGGGGGGTTTCGCACCACGTCTACGGGGTGCGAAATGGGGGAAGAAATGTTTTCATGTCTTGAAAAGGTCTTTACCCTCCCCTTCAAAAAGCGAGAAAGTGTCGGGTGCAGACCATGCACCACAAGTGACGACGGCCTCACAAAATGTTAATGTTTTCTGCCAATGAAATGATTAGCCTGTTGCAGTTGTATTCTATCGTTGTCACTAACTATCATTTACCAGAAATCAGCTATCACTATGAACAACTTCTAACCAGATTTACTTGGAGGCCGTCGTCAGTTGTGGTGTTTGGTCTGCACCCGACACTTTCTCGCTTTTTGAAGGGGAGGTTACGTTTGTATAGTAGTCACTCAGCTAAGTGTTGCATCCATAGAACGATCGGCAATTAACTCTATAGCTATATCTGTATAGCATCTCCTTTCTTAGCACTTTCTCCCCTTCTCTTTCTCTTTCCTTTCTCCCCCCCCCCTCCTTCCCGAGTCCTCCTAAAGGGCTCGTTTGCCAAGGCAGTGCTAGATGCCAAATTCAAAAGGTCCAACATCCTCCTTACGTCTGCCCCCTTAACTAGCGAAATTGAAGGAATGGGAATCCTCTAAGGGATACAAAGGACATGAAGTGTGTTATAGCAGAGCCTAAGAACCCTCAAGAACCCTTATGGAACGCAAGACTGTAGCCAAACTGCACTGCACCCTAACCCCATACTATGATGTACTTCACTTGCTTCATCAGAATAGCTTTTCAGAGCAGCTTTTGAATCACCTTTCTCATATTTATTGTTTCCTAAATGTTTCTAAATTATACGGTATTTCAGTCAAATGACATGGATGCAGCTACTCTGGGCAATCACTCTTTTGCTGTTCCAATGCGCAAAGACACTTGGTTATGGTGCATATCTGCTTCTGATGACACTCTTCCGTTTCGCCTATTTCCTTACTTTACCAGATCGTGCAGAAGATCAAGAGAAGCCCAACAAGTGAGTTGTGCAGCTGTTGATTGTGTGAAACCTTTAAAACGCTCATTTGTGATCTTCAGAGCTCCTCTGTATTCCAATCAACCGATTTTGCCCGAGTTCCATCACACGCATCTCGGATTGGACGCGTTTGGTTTAGCTGCTGACCAGTTGCCTACAGCCAACGCCAACTACTCCGAGATTCCGCATGTGATCACTGAAGACTATACACCACCCGCCGAGGATACAACGACATCCAACAAGACTCCGCCTAATATACCTACACCGCCACCAAGTGGGCCAAAGGCGCCAAGGTATGAGAGCTGCTCACCTTTCTTGCTTTTTCACCACCTGTTCCTGAGCTGCGAAACAGCATACTCTGCTGATTTCACAAATCTGCGCCAAATTTCGTATCTTCACATTAAAAACTCCAAAACTCCAAAAACCGGCTCTTATCGTGCTACCTTCAGATCACATATACGTCTCCACCCCCTCCCCTCCCTCCCCCTCTTCCAAATATCACAGATACTACCGTCCGCTTCACTTTGTTATGACAAGCAGTTGACTCTGTTCTCAGCGCTGAAATTTTGCCAAGATGATGACATCCATCTTCCAAGCCAGCTAGATTACACCTAATTTATCACATGTACGTATATGGTCCAAGCCTTCTTCAGTCTTAGAGAATGTCGAATTATTATTGAAAAATTTTTCATGAAAGGATTTAAGCAGTCACTTAGAGCAACAGTCCCAGCAGGGTTTTTACCTTCGACACTAATGGTGTGGAACGATGCGCTAGCCCTAGTCAAGAACATAAGAAGTGTGACTGAAAAAAACTCACCTTGGAAAGCCGCTAGAAAGGGAGCTGAACGGCGAAGTGGGCGTGGTTGGAATCGGCCGAGGGGACTGCACAACCACGCCCACTTCGAAGCTGTTCAGCTCCCTTTCTAGCGGCTTTCCAAGGTGAGTTTTTTGTTCAGTCACACTTCTTATGTTCTTGACTAGGGCTAGCGCATCGTTCCACACCATTAGTGTCGAAGGTAAGAACCCTGCTTTAATCTCCTGCTTTTGCCAATAGATCGAGGAGACGATCAGTGAACAAGTAAATCGTCAAACGTAAAATAGTCCAACTAAGAAAACTAGAAGTTGCTAGGCTCCTGATCTGAATTCATGACTCGGTGCTGTGTTATTGTGTGTATGTATGTAGGCGCATGTTAAAAGTAGACATCATGGGCCGACGAAAATTCGTAAGATTCTGGCATTGCTAATCACTCGTTCCCCACTTCGCTCCAGGGTCAGGATTGGGAAACATTAGGTTACGGTTAAAGGAGAATAGGTCGTTTTCTAAAGGCAAACTTCCGAGTGCCTTAAACTGGTGCTATGAGCGCTTCGTGGTGATAGCTTAGCTGCGGAACGACCTGAAAGTGGAAAGGAAAGCAAGAGAAATCTTTGGGAACGCTGAAATTAAGGCCTTAACCTTCAAAAGGTCGGATGTGGTACGATGGCGAGAAAACGCGAGAGAGCACGTCGTTTGAGAGAGCACGCTGATCTCACCATCTCTCGCGGTGGGTGGGAAGCGTTGCAACGGGGGTCGATGGTTGCAGGCCCGTAAGGATTAGCGCCCTAACCGCGCAATTTTTGCGACGAAGCTGGAGTGATCTAGGTAGGTACGGACCTTACAATTTCCCTCGCGGTATCCTTCCTACTAGTCGGGCTAATCCCGGGGTTTGCCTTCAAATGCAATCTTTCAGCCTCCGTTTTTAGCGTCTGCTGATGACCGCAATATCGGAACCCCTAGCTTTTGGAATTGATGTCACTATTTCGACCCATTGTACTAAACATATAGCTGAGTTACCGCACCGTACGTACCGGTTTCTGGACCTATTTGAACTCGATTACACTGCAAAATGTAGTCAGATTGAAGAATTAGATTAAAGAATGTGGTCAGAATTAAAGAAGTCCGCACGCAAATAGCTAATATTCAAGAACAATGAACGGATTCAACTGTCCGAAAATTACGCGGCTTCTTAACTCTAACTATTCAGCATCTATGAATCCATCGGCGCTCCAATTGTTATGCCACCACCGTCGGAAGTCGATCTCCACGATGTCTCCTATGAGCCGAAGATCGCCGAACAGAACATGGGTCGAAGCAGAGGATCAGTACTGGTAAGTGATAGGAAAAAAATCTGTTGACAAATCTTCGTCAGCTCGTTATCGGCCAATGAGCAATCAAATTCTTGCAGAATGTCCTGGCGCGCAACTTCAAGACCATTGAAAAGACGACACTGTACTTGGCGTTCTTCATCAATGTCATCCTGCTTTTCCATCGTGTAGAGATTAAGCACATGGAACCAGGTAAGAAGCTTGTATTAGATAGATAGATTGTACCTTTGTTTCTTGTGCAGTTCAGATAATCACGACGATATGAGGAACATGTTCTGAGAATTTCCAAGAAAATTCGATCCAAACTGTTGCTTTTTAGAAAAACCGGAGAGTGAAGAGGATGATGAGAACGCCAACGAAATTGTCTTCATAACTGGAATGGTGGTGCCATATGTAGAGTACGAGCTGACAGGTTGGGTACTGGCGCAGGTATGTAGCAATATTTTGCTCAGCAAGTCGCTTAGAGGCAAACTCGCGGACAAACTGGTGCTATTAGGTCATTATCTTTCGTTTTGTGATTTTTTAGTTACCTTAGCTGCGGAACGACCTGAAAGTGGAAGGAAAGCAAGAGAAGTCTTTGAGAACGCTGAAACTAAGTAAGGCAATATCCTTCAGTGTGGTAGAATGTGACAGGGCGGTCAAAGAAGACAAATACGCGAGAGAGCACGCTGATTCTACATCAATGCACGCTGATCTCACCATCTCTCGCGGTGGGTGGGAAGCGTTGCAACGGGGTCGATGGTTGCAGGCCCGTAAGGATTAGCGCCCTAACCGCGCAATTTTTGCGCGACGAAGCTGGAGTGATCTAGGTAGGTACGGACCTTACAATTTCCCTCGTGGTATCCCTCCTACTAGTCGGGCTAATCCCGGGGTTTGCCTTTAAAATGCTGATTGAAGACGGCCAACCCCTTACCGTAACATCTGCCTTTACAGTTTTCTCCTTTAATCACCTTCCAAACTTTTCCATTGAGCAGTTAGCTCGCTGTTCTACAGTTTGCAGTTTTGGAAGTAGCGATCTAAATAGACATGAGTACCCCGTCCTTTTGTATATTTGTATGTGACAGCGTTTTTCTGAAGGAGTAGTGACCGATCTTTGAGGCAGCTTCATCATTGATCTAGTATTGTGGGTCGGTGAAATAATCCAAATCTCTCGGCCGGCTGACCTGACCGTACGAAAGCAATATTGCCTACCTTTGGCAAGGCAATTTCCAGTTATAGACGCCTTGTTACAGTTTGCCATACCGTTTCAAGGTGCTGTGCTTGAATGAAGTTTACCAGTTGAGAGAAGTACGGACGATCACTTGAATTACTGTGTAGTTGGTGCTACTACTAGTCATTCCTAAATAATGTTTATCATAACTGAAATAAATAGAATTCTTGCACATGTACAATAAGTTAGTCCAGGCGCCGTGGTTAATGCAAACTATGGTTTTGTTTCAGGTTTTGTACTGGATCAGTGTGCTTCACCTGACGACGTCATTTGCGCTGCTCGTCTCCTTCTATCAACTCAAAGTAAGTGTCCGAATTCAGATCTCTGACAAGCTTCGTTCTAACACTCACTTGGCATCGTGTGCTCTGACTGAGCAGTACGGTCGATCTTACTGTACCTTTATCACCCCTCTATCATTTATCAAAGGAACAGTGTTTTCCTCGATAACCGTAGGGATTTCGCTTTCTTGCACACGCTACATTCGTCTCATATCCGCCCTGCTCAGTTCCACTTGCCACGTCAACAACCTCCTGGGAAGCGGATGGACACATATGTCAAGTGACTGTCCTATATGTCCTATACAGTAGAGTGGGGTGCTATAACGATCATGTTATCGCGTTCGTGGTTTTCCGACATAAAAGTAGGTCCTAATATGCGCCCTCTTGTATGGTGTCCCTCTTGTAAATTCTCTCTCCTTTCAGGCGAGATTTCTCTGCCTCACTCCGTCTCACCTAAGTAAGAAGGAGTAAGCCTCAATTTTGGCATTTCAATGGTTTCTTTTGCCTATTTCTCTTCCAACCGATCCTAGTTCACCTCCGCGGCATGGTCATCCATAGGTTTGGTGGAACTGTATGCTAGTAAAAAAACAATT